AGCCATATCACTCAGTGTAGCTAACCATCAGTGACCATCATCCCGAGGTCCCTAGTCAGGGATCCTAACGGGGCCTACGCGACCTAGTCGCCTGGTTCATATCCTAATGCCAGGTCTTAGCTTGACCGCCCTTCGTTTTTTTTTCAATCGCTACCAGCAAACATCGTTCGCCGTGGCAACCTATCTGGTGACATGCGTAGCACATGTCCTAACCAGCGCAATCTATGGAGGTCGATCACTTGCTCTAAAGGACGACCGCGACTGCCTAAAACTCTACGCCTAAACTCAGCATTGCTACCCACCAGACACGTGCAATGCTACGTAGACAGCGGTGTTCGAACACCGACAATCTATTTTTCCCGTACTGGCCAAGTCTCTGCATGTAGACCAGGACTGGCCAAACTGTCGCGGCATACGCTCAACCCTTCAAAGACAGCCGGATTTCGCGACGGTGCCACAAATGTCTCAAGTTGGCAAATGTCAATCGAGTTTTTCTATGCGTGCCGACACTTCATCTGTGATGCGTCCGCCAGGTGAGATATAGCTGCCTTGATAGAAAAATTTGTCTATTTTCTCTACTACTTCCCCAGTCAAAGTGAGACTGGGCGCTTGAGTCAGTTGTCCTAATGGAGCAAAAACGGCAAGTCCTAACCTGCCAGGATTAAAATAAAGATAGGCGGCTGCTACAACGTCGGCTCACGAAGAGTCTCAAGAAGGACCGTGAGAACTGGTGGGTAACAATAGCTTGTGAAATGGAAGTAGCAGCTGCATCAGGGAATAGTCAAAGACTGTTCCGACTGATACGTAATACGGGAGGTCGGCGAACCCCAGTTAGTGAAACAGTCTGCGATAAGAGGGGACGAGCTATTCAGAATGAGAATCAACGACTCGATTGTTGGGTAGAATACTTCAACGAATAGTTCAGCTGGCCTAGTGCTAACCAGGCTGCTTCATCTTCGAATGAAGCTCCGCGGGCAGTGTCATGCGATCCTCCAACCGAAGCAGAATTTCGGTCTTGTATTCAATTTCTGAAGCGAGGAAAAGCAGCAGGACTTAATGAGCTCCCTCCCACTTTCTTCAAGATGGGAGGTGATTACCTCGTAACCTATATTACCACGCTACTGCGCAACATTTGGATGCAAGAGCACGTTCCTTCATCTTGGGGTGAATCCTTGATCGTTCCCATTTTTAAGAAAGGATCTTGCAACAATTGCGAAAACCACCGCGGGATAAGTTTGATCCCGATCGTCACCAAAATGCTAGCTTCGGTTATACTTCGACGTCTGACGCCTTTAAGAGAGACCAATATCCGTGAACAGCAAGCCGGATTCCGGCCTGGCCGTGGATGTATTGATCAGGTTTTTACGTTGCGTCAGATCCTTGAGCTACGTCATACTCACCATCGGCCAACGATCGCAGTATTCCTTGACCTGAAAGGAGCCTTCGACTCAGTTGACCGCGAAGCTCTGATGGGCTCCCTTCTTCGAAAAGGAGAGCCCCAGAAGTACGTTAACCTACTGAGGTCACTGTACTCACATACCTCCGGTCGTGTAAGTGTCTACAACGAACTAAGTAGGCTGTTCGTCATCAGCAGCGGCGTTCATCAAGGGTGCCCTCTTTCGCCGTTCCTGTTCGATTTCGTCGTAGACGAACTACTGGAGAGCGCACTAGGGGACTCCAAAACGTCGGTATTGAATGGACAGCTGGAGAAAAGCTATGCGTTTGGAGTACGCCGATGATATCGTCTGTCTGTTCGAATGTATGGAGGACGCGCAAAGTGCACTTGATAGATTAACAAGCGCAGTGGCCACATTCGGTATGTGCTTTGCACCTTCAAAGTGTCAAGTGCTGCTGCAGGACTGGGTTTCGTCTACTCCCACTCTGACACTAAATGGCCAGGATTTAGTTGTGGTGGATTACTTTTCCTACTTAGGTAGTTACGTGACCAATGGAAATCTTCTGTTCGACCAACGCAGTGTCTGTTTCAAGAAGACGTTTCATTCGGCCATAAGAGACTTCATGTCCATATCCGAGTCTTGATAATAAACCGGTACGAAGGTCGGCTTCTTCAGTGTTCTGCAATGCTCTGATGAAAATGAGGCACTTGAATTGGTCATCGGTCAATGAAAGAAGTTTGGAACGTTCACACTGACGATTGACTCTGTCAGCAAGCATGCCATAATCCTCTTCATCCCGTTTAACCATTTTCAGACACTCGTATCGGATACCGAACAGTAAAGCTGACTCACCAAATATTTCTGATAATTGTGCCATCTCTTCGTCAAATTTCAAATCCCTTGGTTGTTTGGGAATGATGTGGTCAGCAAATCTGGAGTATTCATTGGTTCCAAGTTTTCGGACCAGCAGGCGCACTTTCCATGCATCGTCTTGACAGCTGAAATCTGTTCGGAATGCGTCTTCCCAGCGTTTGAACCACGCCTCGAAAGTGTGACCAGTTTCAGGATCATAGCTGAATTGAGTGATTGAATTTGCAAGCATTTCGGTAGCGATAGAGGGTTTTTCACTTGAAACTGATTCTGTTGTTTTGCAGGTTGATTCGATGCGTCAATTATTCAATCAGTTTCAATTGAGCCTCCATATGCTTCTTTTGCTGCATCAACAAGAGTTGGAATTGGTCTACTGAAGAATTCATTGAAATTTCCGATTTTTCCGTCGCCACCTGTTATGTCTTATGCCAAGACGAATGATCGCCTCTTTGCGCCTCTTTGTCTAGGCCCCAACAATTGGAGGAAGAACACGGCTGAGAAACGACAGTCAGAGTGCATTGTTGATCATTAAGCAACACGCAAATATGTGGTAAATTGGGCGTATGAGAAGAGACGTGATGATGCACCAATCAGATCGCGACCTTGACACTCAGGTTGATCGATCGGACGACAGCTATTTGATTCGCCTTAGTCATCCAATCAGGGGTCGATTCAGCTTGGTCGTCACGAGCGCACTTGTGGTGCAACGCGGGTCGATGCGTGGCAGGACGGATTCTGTGCGCTCCGTCCTTTTACTCTCTCGCTGGTGATCGTTTCATGTTCAGTTATCCCTTCATTATCTATGCCACATCAACTCCTCCGCGATTATCGGTATCGTGAACCGTGAACCGATAGTTCCGGTCGAATTACCGGGCTTCCAGTTCGAGGTGTACCGAACCGTAATTCTTCTGTTTTTTAATCCTATGGCTGGTGGTGGCCAAGTGGTTAGGTTAACTTATCGTTACCCGGAAGTCCCGGGTTCAAGGCGCTCCACCGCTGCCCGTCTTCCCAGGCAGCTTTTGTTTGCATGCGGCCCCCTTCGTGAAAGTAAACTGTACATTTGTGCATTCGGTAAATGAAAAATGGAAGTATAAAAAGACATTTATTTCACGTTTACTCTCGTCAGTAGTACGCATAGTTTCGTCTTGCATAAGCAATTTTCGGTTGTCACGGTTAGATCTCTCCTCGTTTTTGAAACATCGGCGAACATCCGTGACACGTTTCTGATCGACGATTAGGTTCACATCTGCTCGACAAGAAGTGTATTTGTTACTTGCTTGACACACCAAATCACTTTCCAGCTCGATCGAAAGAGCTAACCACTGCTTAGGTTATATGACTCTCAGGCACTATAGCTGGTGCACTCAATGCATTTTGCGTTTCAGTTGCTCGGTAGATAACTGGAACTGTTGGTGATAAAACGGTGAACAGTCGAGAGGCGAAATCCTAAATATTACAATAGGTTGAGAAGTCGTCATGTCTGTATTCTATAACGTATATACATACAACGATCGAGTCCGTTGTGTTTTCAAGCGAATCCATCAATTGCTTTCCATCGTTACCTGGGTGGTCACACTTTACCGGGACAATCACAATCTTGGCTCAGACGGAATGAGCTGATTTCTCTATTTAAAAAAAGACTTTATGAATGAACTGCCGAAAGAACATGAAGCTTTCGGTGGGGTGAAGGCTGTGTGTTCTTCCCCGGGGAACGTAATGACCTTGACTATTGATCAAGTGAACTTTAGACGCAAATGAATCAACCCGGTGGTAATTGACCTTCGTCTGTTGGGCAAGAAAGCAAGCCAAGGTGGATAAATAAATCGTTCACCATGCTCAGGAGTGAATTCAAAATTAATTGTTGCAAGAGCAGTTTCAGTTTAGGGCATGAATAATCTAGTGAGTAAATTCCATTGAATCCACAGATTCCTCGGATTTTACCACTTATTTTGCATTAAATGTGATTACCGACGTACTGTAAGCATTGAAAGACAGCTGACTAAATGCGAAATTCAAAAAAAGAGAAAGAAGCGACATAATTTCATTTGAATAACCAGACGAACTCCTAAATTATTTATCCGCGAAACTCGAATTGAATATTGGTTTCCATGTGCAGGTCAATCCAGCCAAGTATACGAGGTCATGATCTGATGTAATAGTAGTAATTGGTAAGATACTGCACAGCGTGATGGAATTCGGACGGTTTTGCTGTCTTCTGATACAAGTCATGGTTACCCTTTTCTTGACACATGGTGACGCAGCGAAAATTCTACAGAGATCGCCAGAATCGACGGAAAATGATTCTCACAGTTCGGTGAGTAAGACGGAAGATGATTAGGATTAGATCATAGCGAACAACAACCTTGTAAATGATGATCGCTTTCCACCTGGTTTTTTATAGGGGGCTCAGTGGAGACAAGTACAGCAATAAACAAACGGTTGCCCTATCTGCCATTAACTACTTACGCCCAAGTGGCGATAAGCCAGCTTCCTGGAAAAAAAATAGTAACAATCTTGGGATTAAGGTTCACAGTAGCATCTCCAATAGCATTGCGCCTTTTTCCTGAGAACACTTCGCTGTCCCAACAGAGTGATGGCAGTCGCCCGATAGACACCCTCAGCATTCAAATGATTTGTAGGCATTAGAGGTTGAAATGTCTACCACATAGACGATCGATTTAGTTTGGACCCATTGAACCACAACGAACTGACCACAACAACGCAACCCTGAAGGAAAACTGAAGGATAATGATAAAATTGAATCAGATTATTTATTCACAAACATACACCATTCGCCCTTGTGGCTCACAGAAGTTGTATTACGCAACACGTTATTCCTTTGCTGACAGTGAGTACACGTGACAATTGAGCAGTGGAGAGCAACAGTCTCAAGTCGTCGAAATTCAAGACCGACGGAAAGAAGATAACACGTGAATTTATGCTCCGGGTCAGAGAGAATCCATTTTTTACCGTTGGCAGATAAATCTGCGCCACGATAAGAAAGCTTCAGAATTAGTTCATCTACGAAAATTTATTTAACGTGACTAATAGTTGCCAGGCCCCGGTATGAAGTTCTGTTACAATACACCAGAAAAATGTACTGCTCGAAATATTCACGGATTAGTACTTGCGATCACACAAGTAAATAGATACCGGCATTCCCCAACACTTGAGCGCAGGCAGAAAGCAATTAAAATTGGGATTCATCGACTATTGATCAAAATCAAACGAACAAAAGAAATCATCATTTGCTCGGAGCTCAATACTCATCAACATTCGTGCTATTCCAGTCACGATAATCCAGAAAATGCCTCAATGAATTTCATTGGTCTAAAGTGCTGCCTTCTTATTGGATGATCGTGGAAATGCAACTTGCAGCTTCCTGGTTGGCATTATCTCGGCCCTTGAAGCAATTCAATAAATTAAATACTTTCATTTGCCATCAAAGTTCTGACAAACAATAATGGATACACATGTTGTATGTATAAGAGATAGCATCTATTTTTTAAAGCCAGAATTTTACAACTAATTGTCGATTCTAAAACATAGAACTATTGCACGACCGGTAAAAAAACTGCGTCGTCGATGATATTTAATGTATCACCTAACTGATTCTATGTGGATCGATCTCCAAATTAAGTTTGAAACCATTTTGTTGTATCCGGTATGAGTCAGTAAGTACGCAAGTAGTGAATTAAGTAGTAATTATATTTCCAGTATGTAAACGCAAACGTAGCAGGTTCGTAAGCCGGCGAGCAAGCCGTGCGTCAGCACGCAGACAGGCGGCACAGTAATGGCGCAAGTCATACCAAACAGTATGTTATCACGCTGGGCAGCCAACGAACGTGATGCGCGGTAAACGTTTCACTCGACCGCAGGCCACAACACATTTCACCACAGTTCAGGAATGTTAAAGAGGCAACTAATTCTATAGATGTATTGTAACGACCTTGCAACTTGCCATTCCATTTGAGTGTGAGTCGTGTTCATGTCTCACTGGACCTTTTAGTTCATGTTGTCTGCACTTTCCTTTCTTTCAGATTGTCGTTCTCTCCACGAAGAACCTCCTGTCTGTCGACGGTTTCAGCCCACACCTAGACTCGGCCCATTTGCGGTTGTCTGGTGTATTCGTTCACGGGGGACATCCTGCCGCACACACGAGCAAAGCATCTCACAGTATGCACTTCCTTATCGTTCACCAACATGAAACATCTATATTATTTTTAAAATATACGTAAATTTATCAGAGTAACCATTCTTTATAATTTTTGCAAATTCGTATGGTTCGAACTTCTTTAAATTTGATGTCACTTGAGCAGCCTAAATGCTCCTACCTAAAACGGTAGATTTGCCAGTCCTCTTATGCGAAAAGGAAACCTCCTGCAGTGTGATGTATTTATAAGAATCCTCAGTTCTTGAGGCAGTTATCGAATAAGCCAACACATGTATCTCAAAAACCTCTAGAGACTTTTGTATCCTAATCTATACCTTTTTAAATTAAAGATGTCCGAATATCAATTTAAGATGTCACAATATGAATTTAAGATGTTCGAGTATCAATTTGAGATGTCATGTCGCTATGTGGATAGTACGATAGTGCGATTGTTCCGTCGTTTCACATTATCTTGTACTTTTTGTGATACTCTTGTTGTCACGTCTGTTAAAGGCATGCCTGCTGTGCAGTCGAGGTTCACAGCTGTAAACAAGGTGTGGTTTCTCGCTTGGATTCGCTGGGATAAACTATCCGACTGATAGAAAAATGAATCCGATCGGTCGTGTGATTTTCGGGTCGCCATACGAGGCGGATAAGTTCTGAATCCGAGGCTGCTTAAGTGTTGGTAGAGAATCACTACAGGAGAATCAGTGGGAAATTCGGAATGGAAAAAGCTTAAGCGATGACACGGGCAGCGTTTGACTCGGTTAAGAAACACGCACTTTTTTTCTAAGCCCGTGCGGTAAACGGATAATCATAATAACTACTTACTGCTTACTTACTAACTACGTCGCAGATAGAATTCCGAAAGAGAGAAAGAACAAATATTATGGAAAAATGCACATTCATTTTATAAAAGTTGTTCATTATGTTTTCCATCCTGCAGCGGGTATAGCAAAATTAGTTTTCTTCCACCGTCAGAATAGTGACAATTATAATACTTTCGCACTGCGCGACGATACTCTGCTTTAGTTTTGCTTTGGCAGAAAGTACAAGACAATGTGAAACGACGGAGCAAT